AGGGTACGTTTACACGACTGTGATTTACTATAAGCAGAAACGTTATTCATTTGCATTTTTCGTATACAGACAACAACGTTGTCAAAATGATCCCCATAAACACAAATCGCCAAAAACGACTAAACACGCTGTATTTTTCATGTCAGGCCAGTAGTTGGAGATGTCACTTTGTAAAGAAACAATCCGCGCCTAGATATACTGAACACTTATAGGCCTACGCATGCGTATGACGTCACCGGTTTCATAAATTCGCATTTACAGAGACGATAATGGGACCGTTTTCAAAAGTACACTTTTTTAGGCCCCCCAAAACGCTGTTGTCGTGTAAATGAACGACCAAAACACATAAAAAGTTTTCCGTTTTTTGGGGGGAAAACAGTGTTGTGTAAACGGCCCCTGAATTTTAAGTCTCCATGAAATCAAAATATGCCCCTTTTTACTTCGTTCACAGTCAATTAATCTGGGTAACTAAGTTAATCCACATTGTTTGTCTACGTAATCTTTTGTCAAAATCTGAAAATTGTATTCCTCTTGGCGTTCCTTCCCTGAAGACGTCAGTTTGACAGAACATCCTTAACCACTTCCTTCCAACCGTCAGTCTGCTGTGATCTAGAGATGGCAAGGAGCGCTAAACCCACTCATTCAGTTTAAGTTTCACTTGAAAATAATTCACAATATTGAAATTAAGTAACTGTAGGTCACAACTTCTGTTTCACATAGAATTGAAATTGATTAAGCCCCAAATTAAAATGTGGTCATTTACGCACTCTCAATTTTTAAGAATCTTAAAGGGATAGTTCACCCAAAAATGAACATTTTGTCATTGCTTACTAACCCTCAAGTTATTACAAACCTGTATGAGTTTCTTTCTTCTGTTGAACACAAAAGAAGATATTTTGAAGAATGTTGGAAACCAGCAGTTTACAGTAGCCACTGACTTCCATAGAATTTTTTCCCCCACTATGGAAGTCAATGGGTGCCGTCAACTAGGGTTGCCACCTTTGATTTGTGAAAAACCGGGACACTTTGAGGGGGAGGGGTCAACCAGGGGCGTTTCCAGCTTTGAAGGACATCAAAAAAGAGAACAATCCCGGGAAAACCGGGACGGATGGCAACCCTACCGTCAACTGTCTGCTTACCAACATTCTTCAAAATATCTTTGTGTTCAACAGAAGAAAGAAACTCATAGGTTCATGATGACAAAATGTTCATTTTTGGGTGAACTATCCCTTTAACACAAATATATCATTCAGTCAGGACAAAAACACACTTTAAAAACAAGTTCATTCAACTTGCACTATATTCCAAACTATCTGGAAAATGTAAGTATTCGTGTTTGGAACGACATGAAGTTGAGAATAATGTAGGCCTGCATGATGACATTGTAAGTAAACTATCCCTTTAAATTGATTTTGAACAGATGAGACATAAGCTTTAATGTATCAAAAAAATCCTGTGGTAACATGCCCAGAAAATATAGCCCTATAGTCACTCCCAGTTATGGTGATTATACCAGCAATAACTGACACAAAAATACACATCAGTGTCTCTGAATAAATTGTGTGTACATTTTAATCATTGTCATTGGAGTGATTTGGAGCTCTTTCCTGCCGTCAAAAAGCACTCAGGGCTCGCTAGGCTAAAGGCTACAGATTTGATTAGTGATACAGTGACCACCAGCTGCTCCAACACAATAGCCAAATCATTACTGCTGCTTTCAGTGGAATGAAGACAGAAAGGGTGAGGGAATTATGGGCCCAGGGAGATGTCAACATATGTACAATGTAACCTGCTAGCATTAGCATGCTGTGCGGCTAGGTTAAAGACCTGCATTTTTAAATGATGGCCTTGTGTCTTTTGCATGGGCAATGTGAATTGAAAAATACCTGAACCATACACAACCTCTTTGTAGAGGAAAAACAAATTGTTATCTTAGATTGTTAGGTTGATAAATTGCAAGAGCTGTGCTTTTCGCACTCCCATGGACGTGCGTTTGTGTGTACGCCCAATCAAATAGAGTATGCGTGTGTGGAAATCAGAGCAGGTGACGAGGTGACAGCACCATGTTGAACGCATGTGCATGTGTTTTTGTGTGAATCTGTGCTGTGCTGGTTTGCAGACACAGCTCATCACTTTCTATATATTTATCTCCAACACCTGTGGACTGCTGACATGTCCCTCATTCTTTATATAGTTCTGTGTCTCGCTGTGTTTACCAAGATGGGTAAACGAAACTGGGGTGATTGATTTATAAACTAGAATTCCAGTGTGTTTTTAATAGCAGCTCGGCATTGGATTTCAGCTTTGTGTGTATTAATACTCAACAGACTATTTACGATTTAATAAGGCTCAATACTTAGAAACAGAACTAAACAACTTCTGGCAGATATATAATAGTTTAGTTTAGCCATAGGTTTGTCCTTGACATTTACCATATTTGAAAGGCATTTCATAATAATATAGATGTAAACATAACACAAGTGTTCTTTATTTGCAAAGAAACCGTGAGGGATGCATTGTTGATCTGATAATTAAATACATTCAGACAGTCTTTGAGTGTAACAGTCATGCTGCTTTGCAATGTGCCACAATATTTTGTCCAATGACTGACTAGATTGCCGACCTTTAGCTAAGCAATGGACTTGAAGAAAAAGACTGCAAAAATATAATAAAATATTTCAGTATTATATCAGTATTTTATATTTATATATTTTATATACTCAAAGGATTTGATGAATGTTTGTATGTGAATAAAAGCCTAAATTCAGTCTGTTCATCATATAAAAATATCTTCATTTGTGTTTCGAAGATGAACAAAAGTCTTACATGACATGAGGGTGCGTAATTTATAACAGAACTTTAACATTTTCTTCATAAAATCTAATAATTGAGACTGTAATCAAGTTTTTACTTGTGAAACACTAAAAAAGAAACATCTTAATGATGAAGTAAATATTCCAGACACATAGAAATGTTTCAAAGAAATGGACAGACAAAGACAAATAAGAAGGACATTTTTATTCACAAGAAAAACAGTGTTATCCCAAGCTGCCATATAATACATTTATACAGAGGGTCAGAAAATTCTTTACAAAACAAACAAACAAAAAGTTAGAAAATATGATTTGATATGAAACATGATGCAACATACATTGTCAGCTGTCATTAAAAAAAAAAAGTTCCAGTTTGGTGTCTTTTAAACCCATGTTCATAAAGTGTAGTGAATGCCAGCATAATCAATACAAAATTCAAAGATGAAGGATAAACTCTAGAAAAAAATACAAATCTCACGCAGCATCTTGAAAAAGGGCCTGAGAGTGTTTATAAAGGTAAATAAATCCAAGAAAAGGTTTTGATTTTCTTAAATGTCAAATGAGATCTAAAGGTCATTCGTGGCCTTTGATAGACAAGTAACAGGAAAGTCATTCTGGCAGCTACAAAACACTGAATCACTTTTACCAGCAAAGTTCTGTAATGGCGTCTTTGACATCAGAGAAATGCAGGTGGTCTTTTACAGCAGTTATTAAACAGCACAATGAGCGCTAAAAATATTGATAATAGATCTTGTGAAGGCTAGCCATTGAGACAGTCATTTGTGCTAAATGCTTAATGTTGCAGTTGCTGAGGTTGTTTGTTCAAGACCATGATTACATGGATGCATAGGTCTAAGGCTTGGATATCCATCCACAGTGTAGTTAAAAAAAACTGCAATGCATCATGAACTGGACTTTATTAATGTTTGAAGACATGGACTGCAAGTCAATATTTGTATGACAGCATCAACGTTCCCTTAGTCTATAAAAAAGGTGTATTTTAGCATCCAATTTGCATCAAATAGCATCCAATATGCCATTGAGCGGGCCACAGTGTTTAAAATCTCATCAGATATTTTTATGGTTACTTTTAGGATGCTGTTATCTGAAAAGTTATGGAAAAAGAGTCCTTCCTGTACCGCACAAATGTCACCTCACCCCTCTTTAATCACAACCACAGCTCTTTTAATGCAGCACACAGTGTGTCTACTGAGAAAGGCTGAGCTAGACATGTGAGGTTACACTAATGAATGCCCTTTGCCAAAGTGTCTATTTAAAGTAAACAAGAACAAGAGGCCAATCTGCATTTTAATAGATTGCACCTCTCTAGGAACACGCACGCATCCATCGCAGGCTTAACAATGACACTGACTTGCATGTATTTATGTGATAAGAACCAATAACAATGCTAAAGATTTCAATTCTTGGGAATTTTTGTGCTGTTCATTAAAATGCTTTAATGTACATTCAACGGAAACGTAGTACCAATTCAAATCACCTATAGGATTCTCTGGGAAATAAATATGTTAAAGGTGCATATGCATCCATTATCAGTACAGTTTGAAAGGTTTGGAGCCAAGGAAACCAAACCAAACACTTAAATGAAACCTGGCTTGCATCACATATGACTGTCAATTGCTGAGTGATACTGTGTTCCTTAAAAAGACCTTTGAAAGATAGAAAAACACTCCGACAGTAACTACAAATACAACATAAGGCTCAAAAGGTTTAATAACAATATGCTGACAGAGGTGATAGTTCAGGAGGCAAAGGCAAAGCATGGAAGTTCAGCTTATTGCTCTCCTTTTGCACCCAAAATAATATTTCACACACCGTAAGTTCATATAAATACACTATACAATGCAATAAAAAAAAAAAAAATGGTTCGGTTTGAGTATGCTGGTCATAGCACTAGCACCAGTATAAAAAATAATGATTGACAACAAATGTACAAAACAGTCATATGAAAAAGGCACTTTGTGGTGTGGTTGAATAACTCTTCGGTAAGTGAGAATGATTCTTCTTTTTCCTTTGGGTAAGGAAATGCGTCAAACGCATCAAAGCTTGTTGGCTTTCGTTTTGAGCAAGTCTATTCCATGTTTGTTATGAGGCACTGCATACAACCAGAACAGTTTTGTCTTCTCCAGAAGATAATAAGTTCATACTTCATGCAGAATTTAGTTATGAAGGTATTCCTTTGATCCATGAGTTTCTCGGAATCACTGGACCGGCTGCTACATTTCATTATCCTTCCTTTCAGACATCCAGGGTCCTGTCTTCCTCCATCTCTTTCTCGTTTTCCATCGATCACCACATCACGTTCTTAAACCTCGACTTCTCGCGGTCCTTCCTGCACGTCAGATGCTACTCGAATATCGAAGCAGGTCACCATCATGACGCGAGACTTGCATAGGTTGACGCAGTATTCCAGTTCAGCCGTAGCCTGCTCCAATGCCTCGAAGTACTCCTGCGACTCCTGATCCAAATCCTCATCCACCTCAACTGTGAAACAAACCAAACACAGTTATGTCATGAAATGGACTGGAAGTATTTAGCATGAACTTTCACCTTTGTCTACTAGAAGCACAAGTCACAAGTTAGTGTGTCCAAATTAGTGTAAAGATATAATACTTACACTCTCCTATCCACTTGCTGGAATCCATCATTAGTCTAGACTTGGTGTCCTCCAACTCTTCTTTCAGAGTCTTATGCTTGGCTGTGAGATCTCTGATTTGCAGCTGTCGTTTCTCAAGAACCTTCAATTTAGTGTTAAAATACATCAGGCCCTGTGGACAGAAGTTGGGCATAATGGTTAAATTACAGTTCCATGCCACATACTTTTTTGACTGTAAGAATGAGGTAGAATCATTTTGGGCTTATCGAGTGAGACCGCATTTCACTGTGTTGTCAGGATTCATTAGAAGAAGAAAAAAAGTACAATGCTGATTCCTTAAATTGCTTTAACCTTTCCATGACATTTGCAGCACAAAAGAACCATAGGATACAGAACTATAATAATACTGTGATATATTTCAGGCATTGTAATGGAAGAATAAGCTTTCTCCCGTTACAGTCTGGTTCACTTATACAATCGAGCAACATTTATACCAATTATTGAATATACCTTCACAACATCCTGAATTGACTGTTGTAACAAAGAGGAAAAGGATGTAAGTGGAGATAAACAACATACATGCACCCCTATTATCCAATAATGCTACAATACCCAGGCACATGATTCCATTGCAATACCAACTGGCCTTAGAAACACTGACAGACAAATTGAGGATCATCTTCTTAAATCTATTTGATAACTTCACCCTGCTGATTTAATGATAGAAACGATAACAGATTATTTTACTACAGAATTTCTCTCCTGCAGTTTTACCCCCAAACGAATTAATTCCTGATAGTTAACTGCTTTTCATCCCTCCAGTGTTTCAAATGTAACCAAAAAAGTCTTTCCTTTTCAGATGCAATCTTCTACAAGCATACATAGAGAGGGTTATACCCCAACATTATCATTATACTTTTAATAAGAAGCAAAGAGCCAAAATCTTCATTCGATGTATAGAGTTTGAATATGATACATAAAGCATATTGCTGACCTAAAAATATTGCTCTTTAGATTAGACAATCTAACCCAACCTAGATCAAAGCAATCTTTGGGAAGCTACTTGCGAGAAAAAATTGGTATCGGACATCTCTGTTATGCACTGTGCAAACTTATAATACATATTAATTAATCAATTTACATTTTAACTTTTCACTTTAAGATGTAAACACATATCTCACATATTTTACATTCCCATAAGAAAAGTCTAAAGTTAAATATAAATGCACTTAACTGGATCTCACCAGATCTCAGTTTCTAAAAAAAACACACCCAGAAATCCCATTCTAACCTCATCTGTCTTCTCCTGTCTTCGACGCTGAAGCCGCTCCACGTCATCAATTTCATACACTTTGATCTCAAAAGGCTCTTTCAATGGTCCGGTCATAGGGGGAAGGTCCACCCACTGGCCCGTGGTCCCAGACTTCCCCAGGGAAGATGCGTCCGGTAAGGGAGCTGGGATGAGGCGCCGTCTCTGGAGGCCTGATCCATGAAGAAACAAAGTAAATACAGTATGTGAAAACAGAAAAGTTCAAATGTAATTGGTACACAGAATCATTGCAAAACTAAAGGAGAAAAAAAAGAGAAGTTAAAAAGATGGATGGGGGAAAAAAAATTAAGCAAGCTGTGTCTACATGAAATACATAAAGAAATAAAGTAAAGATTGTATACCAGAGCTTTACAAATATACTGAGGAATACTAATACTAATAGTTATTTGTATGCGTATGATGATGCAGTCTGGATGGACATTCAAACCTACCAAACTGCATGTGATGAGCAGATGTTAGAATTAACTGTCTTAAATAGGCACGTATTTATACAATAAAACTGTAATAAAATGTCACTGTTTCATAGCCAGATTAGCTCTCAGAAAGAGTTGTGTGGACTTCAGTATAGAGCAATTCATGACAGGCATATATAAAAAGTACAAAAGCAATATAACCTTATCAAATGCTTGATGTCTGCATAGAAAACAACAGTTGCTACTCACCATTTGACCTCTTCTTGGGTGCTTTGGAGATCCTTGTGCGACCAGAGGAGGACATCCCACTTTCACTCATAGAGTCATGGGCTGAAGAAGCACTACCAGTAGCTTCACTGTCACGGATCATGCTTTCATATCCACTGCTCCCTCCACTATGGTAGAAAAGTGCAGTTCGTCCCATAGCAGGAGGCAACTCCCCACTTAACACACTACTGTTATCACTTCCATGCCCACTGCTGTAGCGCTGAGGTCTTCTTGGGGCTGTGATCTTACTATATGGAGATGGAAGAATGGGGATTGGGGTATGCTTGTCATCGTTAAGGTTCACTCCACTATCATTGCCACTGTCTGAATCACCTGAGCCCCTTGTTTGTTTCCCAGAAGTGTTGGCCAATGCCAACTCACTAACACGACTGTTTGCTGCCCTCATTGCTTGCTTGGTACCCATGATAGTTCCTCTTGTGGATTTACCATTGCATCCTACTGTTGCTCGAGGTAACGCAGTCTTTCCTGAAGGTGGAAGGTTGGCATTCCTTGTTGCAGGTGCCACAAGAGACTTAGTGGATGAGCTAAGGGCTTTGGAGTTGTTTGCAGATAATGTACGAGCTTTGTTGGTATTAGCAGGTATTGGTCTCGCATTAAGGCTGCCTTTGACGATTCCATTTTTTACAGTGCTTACTGGGTTTATACAAGAAGGAGGAGAGGTAGCAATTGGGGAAGAGGTGGAAACAGGTGATCCAAACCTACTGACAGACTTGCTTGACTTGCTATTGAGACTAGCACCACTGTTCTCTCGACTAAGAGCAGGTTTAGACCCCAAAGATGATAAACTGTCACATCTGTCTAGAGATATCTGGCTTCCATAAAGCTGTCCTGTATCACTTCTAGCTCCTCTAGATTTGAGACTGGAGGTTGCTTTTATCAAACTATGTTCTGCCTTTAAGTTAGATGCTCTTAAACTATTTGAATCAACCCTAGAGCAAATATCAATGTCATCCTCTAAACCTGTGGCCCTTGGTGCTAAAGACCTTCCTGCATCATAAGCAGACTTTAAGGCACTTGAGGGAAACAGGATTCGATTCTTTTGATCCAAACTGGATTTGCGAACTGGAGGTGGAGGTGGTGATACATTTCCAGGTTTTGACATACTCTCCTCTTGCTTGCTTGCTTTTCCACTTTTTCCTAATGAGGAGAACTTCAAATTGCTTGTTGAGGAAACAATATCTTGCGCAAGCTTGACATCAATGGACGGATGGATGACCGGAACTATTCCAAGCGTTGTTGCACCTCGTCTGAGCTGTGGCATCCTGCTTGGGGACTCCATTTTCCTGTTGTTGCTGGTTTTTTCACATCCGTCCACCACCCTTTGGGATGGGTTTGACCCCAGTGTTTTGGGCATTCGAGGTACACTGCTGCTTGTACCTGCTTTTCTTGCAGGAATTCCACTTTTTACCAGTCTGGACGAAGAACTTGAATGAGAAGTTAAAGAAGACTCTAATGGGCTATCTACTCGGTGCCATGCATCTGGGATGCAGTCTTGCCTAGGTGGCTCACGTCTCCAGTTGCTACTGGAGCTGGTTCCACTGATACTGCTACTATGGGCTATAGATGAGGTAGGTTTTAATTTCCTGGAAAGACTACACTGGACAACTTGAGATTCTTGAAAGGACTTGGGATCAGCTAAATGAATGGTATTTGCCTTTGCAAGTTTTGGCAAATTTTTGGCAGATAGTTGTGGGGCCTCTGGAGAAGATGGGCAGTTGCTAAGTGAAAGTTTGCTTGATACAGCACTGTCGCTGTCCAAATCTGAGAAGCTACAGCCACTATCATTCAAAGAGTTCTTGGGTTGCTTTTGAGGGCTGCTTTGGAACATGCTTAGAGAATCAAGGTAGAAACTGCTGTCTAGACCAGTATGAGTACCTTGAGGGAGAAATACATCTGCTGATTGGGCACCTTCACTCTCCAGAGTACAGACACTTACTTCACTGAGCCATGAAGTGATAGAAGAACCACGACTGCCAAGCGAAGCAAATGTTTTATCCTGTAATGGAGCCACCATTTTAATGTTTGCCTCAGAGGTACCAACATTGCATGTATAGGCATCAAACTCATCATTGATGCTACTAATGATGCTTACTGGTCGTGACCCTGAGGCAAGGGCCTGTAATGAGCAATCACTATTGAAACTCACAATACTTGAGGGCCTCCCATTGTCCACAATGCTACCAATTGATAACTCTTCCACAAGAGTGAATACAAGCTCATCCTCTCCGTTTAGCTCCACTGGCTGTTTGAGGGTTACAGTTGTCCTCAATATGTCCTTCTCCATGCACCTCTCCCTAAGATTGGACCTCATTTCCCCAGTCCTGGGATTAAGATGATGGACTTTGACAGGTGAGTTCCCATTTGAATCACCTCTTTTTTGATGGCTCATCCCAATTGGTGGTATCCTTGTGGCAGACTTTTCTTCAGTCTCACTATTGAGTTTGCCATAGTCTCTTTGTTGTGGCGGCGGGGGAGCAGGCTTGGGTAACTTTTTATTGAAAAAAACCTTTTCCCTAACCACAGGCTCTGAGTTTTGGGATACTATTGGTTTTCCTTTTGTACATAGGGATCCAGAATCCATTTGCACCTTTTCACCATCTGCACTTGTCCTACACACACTCTCAGACATGTCTCTGAGATCTTTGTCTGATTGGGCACTTTCCAATTTGGGATGTTCTAATTTGTGTTTTGGACTGCTGGGCAGTTTATTGGCCACATAAATTGACTTTTGGGATATGCTGTCCTGTGTTGACGAGAGTGCTTTGGTAGGAGTCTTGGGAGAAACTGAAATGCAACTAGAGCCTTCTTTCAACTTGGTTGCACTACGGTCCATTTTAGGGCTTTCAGAATTTTCTCCAGATTCACCAACAAAGGCTGTAGGTTCCTCACTACCATCAATACATTCTAATCGCTCCTGAAGCTCAGCAAAGGTGTTACATTTGAAGTGATCATGGTCAACTGGCCCTTCTTTCCCTCGTTGCTTACGGTTAAGAGAAGGGATGATAGGAACAAAGGCAGGGGGTCCTTCATTGTCACTAAGTTCTCGATCAGAGATGGAAGCACCACCAGGGCCAACATAAATTACAGTGTCGCATGATTGCTCGCTGCTTGAAGAATAGTCAGGATCACTGAGGAATGATGGTAGATCTGGGTCAAGGGCCACAGTCCGGGGATGGAAGGGACGCAAATGTGGTGGTCGACGGATCCTTCCCTCATCACAGGAACTCTCCCCTCCAGAAGAACTTGATGCATACTTGACAAAGACAACACCAAAAAAATATTTAAACAAAAATAACTCTGGAACTCTGATGTAATGTTATTGTTGTAACCTTTTCAAAACTTATGCACAAACACATTTTGTTATGTCTAAGCAGCTGATGCATTGACTGTGCTAGGGCAAGTGCTATACAAATCCCAAGACAACAATATAACTGCTTAATTATATAGTAAACAGTTTTCAAAACCATTTAGCTGTTGCAGGACTACCTCAAGGTCAATACATCATGTGAATTTTTCTATGTCCCATAACAATGAAACTTATGATACTCAATTATAATCTTAATCACTGTTGCTGTTAATATTCACTAAACATATTTCTATGTTGTTATCTCTAAAAAGTTTATTTTGTTTGGTATAAAACATATATAAAATTTTAATCGGATTGAAATCTTCTAAGTAGAACATACAATTATTATTACGAGTATTCTTGAATTCTAGTTCTAAAAAGTTACCTTGGATTTCTTTTTCCTCATACGATGGATTCGGGAGGCCAGCTGAATGGTGGTAAGAGACTCAGCATAATTGGCAGGGGAGTCAGAGATGTGAGCAATCATGGTTGTCCTACAGTTGATGTTCCCCAAGGAATCTCGCAGTAACATTGTGAGCTTGCTATCCCTAGAAAAATACATTTTCATTGTCAGCATAAACACAGGTTGATAGATTGTCAGCAGAAAGTGAGCTGTTTACTCAAATACTGAAGGAGCCTGGCCGTTAAATGTTCTCTAAAAGTGCAGAGCCATCGAAAGGTTCACTAAACTCTTCTGCCAATGATATTAATCAAAAAGCTACAAAAATGTCTATATTGCAATTCTTCTAAATGTGCATAGGTTTTAGAAAGGCGAGAAATAAGGTACATGTGATCCTGAAAAGATATCAGTTTTTATTTCAAAAAGAGATGCATGATCTATGAGCTCATCATCTATGATCTCAGCAAAATACAGATAAACAGCAGTGCATCAGTCAGACAATAAACCTGTCAACACAAAGATCACAGGTTCAAGCTTGTTGCTGGCATCTTTCATTATGTGCTCAAATGCTTCAGCATTACATATTCTATTTAAACGTGACAGATCCAAGCACATATTCAGAATTATCATGAACATTCTGCTAATGGCCATACCTGCATAAGTGATGTATTTGACATTATAAAAAATACCTTATATTTTATGCAATATTCCACTTGGCAGTTATGCTAGTCGATTTGTCAATACTGATTACTAGTAGAAAAAAAATGATACTAAAGATGCTAGCACCATATCTACACATTTTAAGCAACAGGACCCATTTCAATATCTTATTTACATTTTCTTACCTGTATGGAACGTGTTTGGCTCCGTTGGCCAAAGCCAGTATGACATTTCCCAAAGCAGTGAGAGACAGACACAGACCTCCTCCTGCGTCCCTACTCTTACAAAGCACCTTCTCGCAGCTTCCCAAGTCAATCAGATGCAATCTGCTCCTACCACCCGACACTGGAGGAGGAAAAAAAAGAGAGAGAGAAAATGAGAGGTAATATCTCATTCGGTAAAAATACCAGCTTAGCCATCCTTCTAATGGAAGATAAAAATACACTGTCAACCCCACTCATTACTGATATCACTGACAGTTTGAGATGCTGCCAGTGTGGTTATACCACGCTGATGACACTCCCACACTGGGGTAGTGTCGGGCAGAGTGAGGAGTGGTAAATGCACAGACATATTAATAAACACCCCCAGAGAAGACCTGCGGCTGACAAGACTGTGTGTGATTTATTCATGAGTAAGTTGCGCAGCCCACCATGATTCAAAGACAGATCAACCTGGCCTAGATAAACACCTATATTCATACTATGCACAACATGAGACATAAATACACATGTGAGTCTGTGATGTGCTGTCTACTCATTCTTTGCCCTATGAATTTAACAGACCGTTGATATACACTTGGAGTTACAAAAGGTTAAATGCATGCACATCTGGGTGCTTTACAGATGAGGAACTGTTCCGATGATTATATCCTCAGCTATGTCTAGCAAATAACTACTAGTAAGAATAACAGACATTGTTCATACACAATGGCAGAACAAACAACACAGAATACAGAATGACAAAGGGTAAAATGACAATACACTGTTATTACACAAGATGTTATAGAGAAATGTTAGACCTTGAAACACTATATTATTACGTTTGTGAATAGCAGGAGGAACCTATTTCCTCCATTCCTAGCCGTTTTTGTCTACCCTTTGCAATTTTAAAATCAGCTTTTAAAATCAGAAGACTTGATAAAGCCATTCAAAGATGCTTCCATGGCAATTCCACTGTTAAAAGATAGTGACCAACACTGTATTTACCTATGCAAATTAGCACCGTGATGGCGTAGTGACAGGTACCTCTACTATGATTACAGCTGTTAGCTGCTCATGAATTATTACTCTCTGTTAAAATTCCCATTAAAGTTTAATGAAGTGGTCAAAGCAGACATGATTGATTTCCCTCCTACCATGATGGAGCGAGGGAATAAATTGAAGGGATTCTGGTAACTCTCTGATTTGGCCTGTAATCACAGCTATTACATTAATAAGCTTGAGATGCATTTTTCCTTTCACTGGGTAAATGAGGAAGAGGAGAAGAAATTAGACTAGACTGAGTATGATCGATTTAGAACATGCAGAGGCTTCAAAAGTAGCAGTATCATTTCACACCGTGCAAACACAAGACTTACTTCCACCCTTGCCGCTCTTCTCCATGCGGTACTGATAGATGTGTAAGGTGAACAGCATGTGCGAGTTGCGCCGGTCTTCCTCATCTGCATCCGGCCGGTTAGTGCTCCGTGCTGCGATGGCGGCGTCAAGAAACAGGGCGGCCTTCTCTGCAGTGGGAGCCCTTAATTCACTCTGGTTCTGGAGCTGAAAGATGAAAAGCATGTTGAAGTCTATGTGTGAGTAAGTGTGGGATTTATTCTGTCCACTTTTGACCACTTCCAGATGTAGTTGAAAACGCATTCATGTGGTCGAATGCGTTCGAACAGCCACAAAAGACCGCCTGCTCTCCCATTTAAACATCCTGGGAAGCGCGGTAGCCAGGCTGGATTTAAATTTTGTCAGCTGTAGACACCAAGTTTGGTTTGAAGACGAAAAACATACCAATCACAATGTTCTCTCACCATTCCTGATTTCTAACACGGCTCGCAGTAATTATTACAGTAATTTACAGCATTTTTTTTAACTAAAAAGTGTGATCATGTGATCACACTAAAAATTACAGTAACAGGTGTTATTATGACTACATAAACCATTAAAGTCATTTTTAAAGGTCAGATTTAATCTTAAAGTGTAAATTTCAAACTGTACTATTTTTCAGTCTATTGTCATATGGCTCATCCCTAGTTGGAGTTGACGAAGAAGGAGACCAAGATAACTGAGCCTCTTTACATAGTTCTAGGCAATTAAATAGAGTCTCTGGGGCAATCAGAGAAACTAACACACCCATAGAGGGAGTAGGATTACTGATGAGAGAGAGTGGTGGATAAAGAGGGCAGAGGGCAGCATCTCTGATCTTGCGGAAAGTCTGATGGAAAAAATAAGATGAAACATGTGTTGGGCATATTTATGGTCTTCTTCAAGGAAACAAGCAATTAGGCTGAATTCTGGACAACTGGACATTCTTCCTTGGTTTTCCTGCTATGCTTAAATATCTTCATTGTGACAAAACACTGACTTAATCAGTTGTATATTTCAAAAAGCAGCCATCAAAAGCAGGTTCCTTTAGAAAAATAGCGGGCAGTTTCCAGCAGTGCTCGCCAACCGCCTGTGGCCAACGAGCCGCTCTAAAACTAAAAAGAGAAGAGAATGCTGGGAGAAGTGATGGGCGTATAGGCCCACTCCCCAGATTTGAACTTCACAGGCCTCTAGGCAGTCTTTGATGTGCTGCTTCATATGGACCCCCAAAAAAACAACATCTGATGCCAACACCTGGCAGGGCTTTTAACTACCCTCTTACCTACCCCCAAACACTACCTACCCCCTCCTGATATTTACCACCTTCCAGTGGAAGGTAAGAGGGGGGAGGGTGAAACAGAGCAGCAGCTCACCCAGATGGATCCTGATGGTGCACTGACTAAAAAACACCACCACAACACCTGGACTTTAATTTGAGATTTTGTGATTAAAATCAGATAAGAATATTCTTATTCTAAAATAAGAATATTCTGTAATAACTTCTACTGTTATGTGAGGTGCAGTGAAAACCTATGAAAACTACTCAACTGACAGAACAAATATGATACAATGATCTCATTCCCCACTCTCTCTCTCCAAAAATAGACTCTCTACTGTCTCGTAAATTTATTTTTTAAATATATGTTAATTTAATTGCATACTTACTGAATAAAATTATTAATTTCTTTTAAAACAAAATCTTACTGTCCTGAAACAAGCATGTTGAATATATTTTGTTTTATACTGTGAAATGATAATATATATAAAAAAAAAAATATATATATATATAAAAAAAATAATATATATATATATATATATATATATATATATATATTATAATATATATAATATAAAAAATATATTTATATAGTACAATTTTAGATAATTATAAAATATTCTATTATAATATAATAATTATATAATATATTTTATAAATGTTATTTATTTATTTATTGTTTATTTGTATTGTATGTATTTTTACAGTACAAAATATACTGTTCAAGAGAATGGTGCCAGTAAATTACAGAAATTAAAACTTATTTAGCAAGAATGCATTAAAATTATCTATTTAGACAGAGAGAGAGAGAGAGAGAGAGATTCTTCAAATACAATTTTATAGTATAATAAATATTAAAACATTATTACATTACTAATACACACATTTAAAATATTAAAATATATAACAAAAACAAAAATTTACAAAATTGACCAAAAAACACTATATAAAAATATAAAATGTTCAATACATTTTTACAGTATAATAATAACTGCCAGAAACCATTTTGTCCATTTTGTCATTTCCAAACTTACAGCCTTGTCAATGGATAATCAACAATTTTTGCTGTTTTTTTTTTAAATTTTATTTTGTGTTGTTGTTTTTGTCTCCTAACATTTGCTTTCATTTATTTGTATTGTGTATATATTGGCAGTATAATTGCCATTTCCCTCCCTGCCCTCCACATGTTACCTTCGATCACTGAAAAGCCTTTATCGGCAACAAATTGGCAACAACTGTTTATTTTCACTTACTGTATGTTAATACATAACAAGCAAGACTGGGAGTGCTTCATCAGGAACAAGCAGCTAAAGCTGACATCAAGTTACTGACCTGTGTGCCACAGATGGGGTCCTCACGCAGGTAGACCCCAGGCGACTGGCCGTCCTGCAGACTGCCCGTGGGGACATCAGAAAGCAGGTCCTGCAGGCTCTCGTCCTTGCCATAGATTTCCACGGCTGACACCCGTACCGAGAATCGCGTGCCCGTCTTCTCCTTGCGCTCGTTGATGAGCTTGAACAGCCAGGAGATGGCACAGGGCGCAATGCCAAGGCCCTGCATGGAGCTGTCTGTGCCAATCATGGTGTATGTCTTGCCTGGTGTGAGAGAGAGAGAGAGAGAGAGAGAGAGAGAGAGAGAGAGAGAGAGAGAGAGAGAGAGAGAGAGAGAGAGAGAGAGAGAGAGAGAGAGAGAGAGAGAGAGAGAGAGAGAGAGAGAGAGAGAGAGAGAGAGAGAGAGAGAGAGAGAGAGAGAGAGAGCTGTTGATTCTGCCAAGATGATGATGGCCACTCAATGAGCTGTTTCAAGTACAGGTATTTCTACCACTGATTTCATAACACATTCTTAGTACTTGAATAGAATCTGATGAGTCTGAATTAGTAAATGCATGAATTCGTTTTTGCTGTACTCTTACAGACACTTTATTATAATTGTTATTCTCATTAAATCAAATAAAATCAAACCTGGCCTCAACAAATCTTACACCAATTGCGAATGTGATACATAACACTGCGTTTTGTCAACTGCTTGGTTTCTATTTCTGCTGCGTCATGCTGGTTGGAACTACCCAAAAATCGAATTGGTCCAAAATCAAGCTCCACATAGTCATCAAACATGATTGGCTGTGACTGCATTGCATTCAGTAATTTGTCGACACTGAATGCAAAAATGCTGGGCAATTTTTGCATTAAGTGTCAATAAATTACTGAATCTTACTTAATCGCATCTGGTTTGGAGTGTAATTTTATTCTTTCAAAGATACTGTTTGTTTTTCTTTCATCACAATGGTGGTGCTCGGAGGCTGACATCGTATCATTGCATTCGGACCGAACATTTTTTGGTCCTGGACTTCCACAGAAGATATATGTACATTTTTCAAAATTGTATTAAAAATTGTATTACACTTCTATTATTGATTGCTATCAGGATGTGAAGAGAGTATAACAAAAATGAAAAGCATTGCCTTAAAAAACACCATGGTTTAGAGCATAATTTATATACATAAAAAAATAGAGATGAATACTGTTCCATATGGACAGTCCTGCTTTAAAAGAGTCATAAATAATGCTTAAGCACTGAGACCACATGTAGTAAATAATGGAGGAAGCCATTGAAATGTCTTACAAGCATAATTGGCAATAGTACAGTCTACTGTGAGGGTCGATTAGTCAGCTTTTAATTACACTCTCTGGCCTCGGGCCTTTCATACAGACACACACACACACACACACAGACTTGAATGCCCCACACTTTCCATTTCTGAAAAGAAAACTTTTTTGATCTTCAGTCTTTATATTAGATATATAAGGGCCAGATTTACTATCAGCTTGCTCCAGCACAAACCCTCTTTTGGCGTTAAAAAACTACTTTCAGGATTTACTAAAGACACGCAGTGAAAAACTAGCGCTGAAAAGGTGTGGACAGGAGGAGAATCTCTAAATTATCGGAGGAGAATATTTAAATTAATCATGCAAGGTGATTTACTAAGGTTTGCGCTCGTCAATTTACTGGTATTTGCGCCATTATTTATCACCAAAAAAAAACATAATAGCTAATTTGCACTGCTCTTGATAGATTGCACTGGTCATTATGGAAATTAATTGGCTGTGTCTGTGTTCTTTAATTTGTGCGTTGTCAGTATCACACACAGAACTTTCCACTCCCATCTGCGCTTTTTTGGAATTGCGCTCTCACGCTAATTTGCCTTTTTGGTAAATCTGGCCCTAAGTGTCTTGCAATCTGTGAAGTGCAAGATCAGTGGCTGTCATATTCAGTTAAATTCCAAACATTAAGAATAACTTACCGACTTTGACATGACCGAAGCAGAAAATACACCCATCAGCTCCGTTGACCACTGATTGAATAACTTCAGCCACAGTCCCTGAGCAAACTTCAGCCTGTGGGAAACAGTTGAACACTTAACACTCAGATCTGGTATTCTTATCAGTTAACACATGGCATCATTATTTAGCAAGTCAGCTATGAATAAAGTCAACAGGGTCCAACATTTTGTGGTGGTATAGATGAAAACCATGTAGACATCCTAGATCAATGTAAAACATGTACGATACTGCAGTTTCCAATAATGCAAGTTACCAGCCAACTGGTTTTATTTACTGACCAAAGTTAAATTGCTTGCTTGGTCAGTATTAATTTTAGACCTGGGGATCAGTCGCATAAACTTAGCCACTATGTTAAGACTGTGTCTTAAGAACTGTTCATTTAATCAACAGTGCACATTGTAGTCTTAATACTCAATGTTCGAATGGTTTTTAACATTCATTGAGCTGTGAAATGTAACCAAACCTTTTTTTGGCAGAGAAGAAAGTACCTAATCTTTTCTTTGATCCGGAGATCATTGATTTTTTTCACTAGCAAAAGAAAACCACAGAAAGCATCAACGAGGCAGCTCCTCATCACAGATTCATCAGACATGTGGGGCTTTACACTGGCTGCACTGTGCGGCCATAACGCTACAATCTGTTCCACTAGCCCAAGTCCCTGGAGACAATTTGGGACTGCAGCAATTTCCTCCCATACATCATAACACACACACATACACGCATTCTCACAAAAGACAGAACAACAGCTCAGTGCTTTGCTAAGAAATATGTCCCCATGCTCTCACTAAACCACACACACACACACACATACTAGATTTGGAGGATTTACAGTTACACGACTTCACTGGGCTGGTACTGAGATCTAAAAGCTTTCTGCTGGCCCTGAGTAAAGGAACTCATAATCGATGGGCTGGTGTCTACATCTTGCCTTTGCTAAAAATCTGAGTATATCACAGTTCAGTTCCTAAACCCAGTGAATTGCTTTTCTGTCCTGGGTCTACATAGGGAACTGCTCAGAAGCATGCAAACTGAAACAGAACCTCAAAAATGAATGATTTGGAAACATTTTCATAGGCAGCAACTTTGAGTACCACCAAAGACTTTATATACAGAAAGACAGTTCACTCCTATTATTTATGAATGGAAGAAAGTGAAGTGTAACGTGAAATGGTGGAATATGTCCCGCCTTCTAAAAAAAGAGCCAATCACAGATTGGTGAAGTCATCGCGTCACTGCAGCTGCCGTTAGAAACTCAGGTTCCATGTCGAATAAAATAAATACATTTAGAAAATAAGTTTCTATAGACCCCTTTTCAGTTGGTAAACATGGTGACATTTTTTGTGGGCGGAGCTTAGGTGGAGGCAGAACGATCCCTCTGGCTGATTCACTAACGTTAATTTGCAAGTTTTGTTAGCTTGTTTTTTTTACAATGACTGGAGAAAATCCAATTTTATCTTAATGTGCAAGGTCACTCAGTGTCCAGGACCGCGATTGTTATTTGCAAAAGTTAATTTAAACGGACGGAACCAGATTTGCCGACCCGTAGCCTACACGCTCACTCAATCAATGGATGGACGATCTGACAGGATTAACGTTAACGCTCCCTCTGGTTGAGTGGCCTGACTTCTACACCTATCCGATAGAGAAACCGAGCGTAAAGAGAAACTGAGGGCATATAAATCTATAACTATGTGCTGAATTGTCATGTACAAGACTTGTGTGTACGATCCGAAGTTCTGCCTAGCCAGCGCCAAGAAGACGACAATGTAAAGAGTGACATTACGGTGCAATTTTAATTATGTGAATATTTTCTAGAAATAAAAATTCCAGACACAGCATATTCATTTTTCATTGATTCTTGCACCCAACAACACAACAAGATGACATTTAGTAATAATAATAATAATTTAAGCTCCTTATTATGTAGCCGAATCTGTGCTGGTTTGTATTGGCCACCTCCAGTTGTCCGTTTGTTTTGCCTCCAGCTAGCGCTGTGACGTAATTGTGACGTCGGCGCAAAAGGGGTCAATAGAAACAGTCAGTGTTCTGAGACGCACATTTCAGGACTGCGCATGCGCATTAGCTTGGACCAGCCTGAAAAATCCAGCCGTTGGAAACAACATTTATGAGACTGTTGTTGTCAGATTTCATTGGTCATTTCAAATATGAAATGTAATAGTAAGTTTTAGAGAATTTGATGTTTACCCATTCAATGAGATAGGAGCTGCACTTGCATGCCCGAGAGGTGTATTAAAGATGGCCGCCGAGTGAAATGACTTGGTGTCACATAAACTAAGCTCCTTACATGAAGTGTAGATGAGAGTAGTCTTACAATTGATTCTAATAGAGTTTGCTGTTAGCATGTTGCTAAGCTAAAAACACTCTACTTAAACATAAAAATGCATTGCATATACAAATATCGGGTAAAATTGTGATTTCTTTCATTTGGTTGAACTTCTTTTTATTACTATTTTTCAGTATAGAATGAAATGTATTGTTCATTAACATTTCTCTTAAGTTGTCTGTCATCTTGGATTCATTTTTTACTAAACTCATTGCAGTCCATGCCTTAACCCCAAATTATACTTCAGTTTGCATGTGTCGAGTGACTGTATTCGCACACACTGTCAAAGGGACTATATTTGAATGGTTATGAATTCGGATGTACATGTACTCTAAGCGTTTGTTCCAAAACGTACGTATATTTTGGTCTTTAGAATTTGGCAAAAATGACAAATCTAAGATCGTCTAAGGTATCTTAGAAGCCACCACAATGTCTCTTCCTGCCTTTGCTTATGATACATTTTGAAACAGAACTTAGAATATTTGGCTTTTCTCATGGCTCTTTACATAAGTACTTCAAGATGACAACCTTATTAGTCTTGAAGTAGCTCTATGTCAAATCTAAATTGTTCACACTTAATCATCTTCAAGTTTGTGTGTCTCCTGAAGTTTCTCTTCCCTATTTGTGTCCATTTGTTAGCCACTTATCTTAAGATAGATGCCATTGGAGCTTTGGAGAACAGATAATGAACTGTGAATGAGCTGCTAGATATGCAAGTCTGGAATTCAAACTATTTTCTATACTTAAAGAAACAGCTGTTGGGCTCATACTTTGAAGAACGGTGGTGTCTCAAAACAGGCCTTTTTGCATTAAGCCCCATGCCCTGCAAAGAATGTGTGTGTGTGTCTCTGTGTCTCTGTGTGTGCTTCTCAAATATCTTCTTGACAAAATGTTTTCACTTCAAAACTGCAGACTAAATGATAGCATCTTCACAGTAGCTCTTACTTGAGAGGCATCTTGGGAAAAAACAGCATCGAAGGCAAACATCTTTGGGGCGGGCAGCACTGCTCGTCTATGCACTGAGGTGGGCTGTGTGTTGACTGAAGGATCATAGAGGGTCAGTTGTTTCTTACGAGTGTCCACCTTCAGAAAGGACATGGACTCCGATGAATCCACAACCCCCAGAGATGGACAGATTCGCATCATCACTTTGACCTGGAAATGGTACATGGTGGAACAAAACAAAATGAGTAACGATAAAATTATAAGCAGAAGCAGAGAATTCCAAACAGGCAGGTTTTATAACAAAGGCAATGACGCTGTAATACAACATTGTAGGGCACATAAAGTGATTGATGGGTCAATGACAAGCAAGAGTGTCCAAAAAACAAACAAGGAAAAAACAACTTTAAAATGTATCTGCCACATTCTTAGAAATGTACTCATTTTGTATTTATAGTGGTTTAAAAAAGTTTTTTTTTTTTTTTCTTTTTTTTTCTTTTACCTTTATTCCATTTTCGAGAAAAGTTTGAATTTAATGACTCTCAAAATGTCATGGGGTGTAACTATCAGGTAAAAATCAATAACATATTTTCCCTTTATTTTTAATATATTTTTAAGCTGACATTTTTTTTCAAACACCATTATGAATTAATAAAAAAAACATTGTTTTTGAGAAAGTATGTGTATATTATATTGGTTGCACCACATGACTTTGATTTGGGAAATGTTGCTCCAAATATTTTTTTTTTTTACAAAAATCTAATTAAATTATGTGAATTTTAAGAAATTAACTACTAATAAGATTATTTCTTCAATATGATATCAAGTGTATCCTCACATTTTATACTTAATATATATATATTTTTTATTAATTTGTATTCAGAAATTAAAAACTTGCTAATCATAGAATGTGTATTTAAGGTATTGTCTGTATGACTTATGACTACATAAATATTTTTTAAATAAATAAATTGGCCATGACAAAAAAAAAGTCATTAACTCTGATATCACAAAAAATATTGCCTTAGCACTTAGGACTGTGGAGTAGCTGTTACTGCTTCAACAACAACTCATTTTTCAAGTCAAACGCAACTGAAAAAGGGAGGGAACTTTCATCATATCATTATCGTATCATCACAGTTGACCACACACAGAGTAACCTAACAAACCAGCCATTAACAAATAGACTGCCTTCAGTAATACTACACATTATCAAGATTGCGTCACGGAGCACCTCTAAAACCATTTGCAGCAAATTCAGTAAAGTAAAACAAACATACTGTAGGAGAACTTCATGCCCTTAATACAGCATCCAGAGCTGCACAAAGCCACAGTATTCCATGGGTGATTTGTAGCAGAGATATAATTACAACATTCGGGCTCCAGTGCTATGAAACAATGTCTGCACTGCTGATCCTATTCCACAGCACCCGGGGCCAAGCGGCATGCCTGCGCCACAGCGGCGGCCCTGCGCGAACTCCCCCTCACCGCTCCACAGGGGCCGATTACACTGATGGACATGTGCACGTGGTGAACGAATTACGCCGGCCGTGACATTGGAAATAGGCTTCCATATATGACTGGCCCCCGAATGGGGCCAGCCACTGAGACACCACAGAAATGTGGGCTTGGGTTGAACCGTTGAGTTTTACATTTGTTGGCAATTTGATACGTGACGAGATCCCTTTAGCGTGGCTGCTGGCTTCACACCTCCTAAACTCTGGTCTAGAAATGATGTCCCACAAGTTTCTGAGGCAATGCAAACAGCAATTAACTTGATGTGTCAAAATCTACCAATAACTTGTGCTCTGCTATAATTCTGTGTGGAAAAGAACAATTAAAAAGAACAGTTTGAGGCATATAGGGTAGTTTTATGTGAGGAACAGACGAAAGGGCGGGACACACCAAGTGAGCGGTTGTCGAGCTGCCATTAAGTGTATGTCACACTAGTTCAGGGTGATCTGCAGTGGTTGGACCACTGTCGGTGGCTTTTTGGCCATAAAAACTCCCGACGGAGAGAGATCACTCTGGCTGTTTAGCTTAGTGAACCAGTGCACAAGAAGGGAAAACTGAAGTGATGAAAGTAAGCAAACACAGATGACTCTTATTGTTCTTCTCATCTTCATCATATCTGTGATGAATTTGATCAAATCTGTCTGTGGTGAGGGTGTGAAAATGGTAAGCGGGTGTGAAAATGGTAAGCAAGTGTTGATTTGTTTACGGTTTGTATATCCACAGTCCTAGCTTTTCTGGTTTCCCTGCTTGAATGATGAACAGAATTTTTTTCCAAAATGAATAGAACTGAATTACTTTTTTTTTCTGCGTAACGCAGAAGAAGATATTTCAGTTTTATTCTCAGTGTTGTTGCTTTTTTGTCCATATAGTAGGGACCAATATTGTTTTGGACCCCATTGACTTTCATTATATAGACAAAAGGAGTTAACATTAATCAAAACATTATATTTTGTGTTCTGCAAAAAAAAAAAAAAAAACTTTTATAAAAGAAAAAGAACAACATGAAGGTGAGTTCACCCGTTGCTCTCTGCACCCATTCAAACCTGGCATGTCACAATTGAGAGGCGTGAGGACCAATGGTATTTGGCATCAGTGAATGGGATTTGAGAGCTATGGGTGACGTATTTTCAGCAATTTCTTTGTCTATTTCTCAAAGAAATCTATTGCGTGACTTCTGAAACCTTGGAATATAGTGCAAAAGTCATGGAACCACTTTTATGCAGCTTCTGTTTCTTTTTTTTAATTGATTTTTTTTTTTTCTTTTTTTTTTGTTGGAGCTTGACAGCCACTGCTATTACGACACATGTCTTGCATCCTTCTGGACAATTTGGTCATTGTGCAAACAAAATGGTTACACAGACGGCTGGGCCATTATTCTAATGCCTGTAGCTTTTTATAGTTCTCCCAAAAGCTGCCAACAACTGGAGTCCATTCAGGCAGCATCGGATGCGTGTTTGCAGTAGTAGGAAAAGGAAGCTCATTAGTGAGGCTGGGATGTAATGAGTCCATTCTCAGTGGTACTTATCAATCATTTCAGCAGGCTACAGCTTCTGGCATGTTGTTCTACAATCATCTCTCAGAGCAGGTGGCATCTAATCTGGAACAAATCCTCTTCATCACTATATATATATATATATATACTGTCATATGTTGCTAAAGACAAACCCTCTGGACAATGAGGAGGACTGGTGCATGGATGCTGAACAACTTGCAACTCTTGGCCAGGATCCCAATCCGAGATCTCAAACACACAATCTGTTCACCATCAGCAAAATAGCCAGTTCTATTTGGGTACGACAGGAGAATTGACAGGGCTTGACTTTGATGTTTTTGCTCACCAGCCATTGTGGCTACTGGTTTTCCAAAGTTACTAGCCACTCAGCATTTTCACTGGCCACAATTTTGACATTGATTCCATGGGGAAAAAACTGCCATATAGATATTTTTAATATTATCTCATAATTTGGCAGCCGGTACTGTATATTAGGCTGCTGTCACGTTAAGACCTGACTCACATCATGGACACGTTATACTGTTACACATGCTTTTACTTTCTCAACTGTTTACGTTCACATAAAACATGACTGACTGTGTAAACATTCGGACATTATTGTGTGTGTATTTGACTGTTTACGTGCAATAAGCAGTGAAAATGGACTCAATTTAGTACCGAGAGGCGGTTTTATGTGCGCGCACTTTTGGTGTGACCACAAAATCAGGGGGAATGAGTAAAATTATGCGTAATACACGCAATCCCACGCCGAAATTCAAGCCCTGTAACACCAACAATATTCAACCGGAGCAAATTAAACGAGTGAGGGGAGCCGGTTTGTGTGTCAACTTGATGTCGGAGAGATGAGAGAGAGAGAAAGCGCAGCTTGTATCGTGTATTTATTCAACGGAAAATGAAGCTTTTCAGATATTTCAGTATCGATATGTACATATAGAAAAATCTATATTTTTGACAAGACTACATTAGTTTATTATTTCAGATGCCTTTTTTTTAAAAGGCTACAATTGAAAAATGTATTTATTACATATAAAATTCAGGTTTGGAAGGTGTTAATGTCAAGCCCTGATAATAGATATTTAGTTTTTCAAAGATTTCATAAAAGACTAATAGTGAGAATTCCTAATCAACAACTTGAATGGTGCAGTTAAAAGAGGAAGAGTGTCTGACCTTGCCCATGCCAGGGTTCTCCTTGGCCTTTGACCCCGCCCTGAGCAGACATGGTGGAGCAGGTGGAGGGGAAAACTGGAGGACAGCACTAAAGTTAGTAGGGTAGATGGAGGGCTCCTGGGGGTATGCCAGTGGCGGCTGCTGCTTCTTCCTTTTGGATGACAGATTCAGCTTCTGAGCAGCC